GGTCAACTCGCACTGAATAGGGGCAAATGCAACATAACCACATAGGCGTCCCATCTCTTTTGGGGTGGAGAGTGGTTAAGAAGCGGGTCTCGCGTCAGCCTAGATTGTTGCATTTATAGACGCAGAATCCAGTGTAGATTCCTTAGGGCCCACTGAAAAGCAGTTGGGATATTTCTGAGGGATTTTGCCCCCCCCCTCCACCCTTCAGCCTGTCTGAGGACCATCTCGACTTAGTGCGATACACAGCAACTAATCGTGCCCGCGATACAGATTACAGCTAGATGCAGTTAGGGACGCAGTCTGAGACGTTTACAAGCTCCCGGTCTCCTCCAGCCGAAAAGCAGATCTAACAGCAATTTCTCTGCCGCTTGGATGTTTGATATCATTACCAATCTCGATACCAGACACATACATGCCCAACGAACACCACAACCCGACAGATAGATGCTCGACGGGGGTCCCATCCATACATCAATCAGTCAATCCCCCGGATGGGAGGCAAATTGGCGCTGGCAGCAGGCCCGAACCACTTCCCGTCGCCAACCCTCGGCATGCAGGTGCTAGCGACTTGCTCAGGCTAGGGGCCAAAGGTCAGGCGCGAGCATCCCAACAACGGCCATTATTGCTTACGGCGGTATTTGCTGTGTATCGTCGCCTGGACTGGTCGCAGGAACCCCACTCACCCGCTGGCCTTACGGGTGAAAACATCGTCGACTCTTCCGCTTGGTTAGCTCGCCAATCGTTGCCCCGAGGCTTGGTGGGCCCTTTCCGCCCATTTCTCCGGTTGACTGGAGACTGGGTGAGAGCGAGTATCATCAGGTCCCACTTCGACGCAACAAAAGTATAAAAAAAAAAAAAAAAAAAAAAGAGCGAAGTACGCTTGCTTGAGACCACAAGAGCCGAAAGCCAAAAGAGCATTGCTAGCTGGTTCAAGGGTTTTACCAACTGTTAGAGCGAAGTCGTCTGCTTACTAGAGGAATTGTGGCTTGAAACCAGATATGCGGAGGGGGCCAAGGCCAAGATCTTGTCGGCATCGACGGAATTGTTGAGGATAAGTTCAATAACTAACTCAGGTCTAAGAATAATAATAAAGTTTTGCTGAGTGAATTCACAAGCCCTCCGCCTGGCTCCGGCAGATACCACCCACAATGTTGATTTTCACCTTTGCACATGGAGAATTGTGGACGGTGATGGGGCTTTTTCTCTCTCTGAAAACAAACCCCTTTGAGCTCATTTCATCTCAACTGCGCTAGGCCTGCAGAGGGATTAGGCTCGCTAACTTCTCCCCCCGTCTCAACTAGAACAGCCGTACCTTGCGACGAACATGCGGCATTCATTCCTCAGTTCGAAAACCAACAAGGCACGGCTGTTTCATGCACTGCCGTCCACTTTTATATATACCTCCAGAGAATGAATGCTTTTGTTTTTGCATTGACAATGTCAGCATGGTCGTTCTTTCACGGAGAAACGACCAACGAACTCTCTGCTCACACAATACATTTATTCCTGTGATGTTCGTTGGTTTGTGTGAGTCCCAGTAGCTACTTGTAAGTTTGTCACACAGGACTAGCTCACAAATGATAAGCTCTGTTTCGCAAGGTACAAGCCCTGCATGCCTGTTCGTTATTAGAACCTGTTATTGTCAGTTTCCTCTCTACTATTGGGTGCGTACAGTCAGCAGAGACCCCCATGCCTGACAGCCTGGAGGTGGAGGAGACTGGAGGAGGCGAAGTGGAGATTCCATGAGGGGGAAGCTGCGAGGTGGGAATGGAGGAACCCACGCCTCTCCACACTGTCTGCATCCAATCAGCAGGGTAGACTTCATCCCAGTGGATTTCCGCCCCCATGAATCATAATGATGGGGAAAGCTCAAGGGTCAGGCATCGAGTTTCAACCTCAGGAGAAATTCATCCCCCAAACCAACGAATCCTCGCGGAAAATGATCCAACGGTCCAAAAATCCCCGGCCAAAGCCATAGAAGTTTCTGTTCAGATTCCATAACTCTAGTATGCATTGATTTGGCTCATAAATCCGACAATATCGCTCGACTTACACAAAGTTGTCCCTCTGCTTCCTCTGAAGGGATGAGAGATTTCGTATTCCAAAATTCATCTGATACTTCTCGAAACAACAGATCTACTTCCAAGGTTGCTCCCTCATTCCTTGGAGAAGCCGCCAGCAGACGAGATGCATGCTTGTGAAATGAGGAAAAACTTAATATACACACTTTGCTCGCCTTTCGTTAGCATGAATACCAACAGAGAAAGAAAGGCATTGACATCATCGGTCCATGAATTCATTTTATTACGCAGTAAGCGAGCTTATAATTTATTCCTTGCTCAACGGGGAAGAATCGACAGAGCAAAAACAAAACAAAAAAAAAAAAATAAAAATCGAAGAAAACCAAAAAACCGCTCGAATCTCAAACTTCGACACTGTTGTTCTATCTCGTTGTGAATTGCATGTTGGACATACAGAACGAACTGTCCTCCCTAGATCGCTCGTCTTGTCGTGGTGGGCCGCGGGTTGGGGGCCCTAAGCACAACTATCCGAGGGTATTTTGCGCGCATCAATCCGAGACTCCGATCGAACCTCACCGCTGAAAAGGAGGGAAGAAAAATAAAATTTTATAGTATGAAAAATAAAATGAAAGGACCAAGTCAAGCCAAAAAATAACCAGAAAAAGAAAAGGATGATTTGCTTATTCGAGGAACATCCAGCGTAAAAACTTTATTCGTCACTAAACTAACAAATGCATGAATTGTTTCATTTTCTTTTCTTTTCTTTTTTTCCTTTTTTTACTTTTCTTTCCTTTTTTTTTTTTTCGTCTTCCCTCGGCTTGTCTTGTTTTGTTCTCTTGTTCTGATTTTTTCTCCCTCGCGAAACCTCTTCCCTTGGCCGGAATAATGGGATTGTCCATTCATGTACGGAGTAGCTTTTTGTCTATCTTTCCTTCTCCTTCTCCTTCTCCGTCTCCCTTTCATCCCTTTTTCAATCGCGATGAACTGGCTCCCTCAGCGATGGTTGGAAGCTTTCTCTCTCTCGCTTCCGGACCCTCGTTCTCCTGCGCGAGAAACCCGCGTTCTTCGCGCACAAGCAGGGGAAAGGGCAAGCAGCGGGGGTGTGCGGGTATGTTCGGCAGAGAAGCTCACCACCATATCCCCCCCCCTCCCCACCCCTGGATGGAATGGAC